ACTGATATTGATACTATAGCACGTGAGTTGTCCATGCAGATACTGATATTGATACTATAGCACATGAGATGTCTGTGCAGATTTTAGCGCTTGGGTTGTAGGAGCCCTCCGGAGTCTGCACACCCCCAGTGAGCGCAGTCGACTATAAATAAATGGATCGGGTTGCACGCCGCAATGAGTATAGTACAATGCTGAGTGATTGAGAGTGTTGAGTATTGAGCATGGTAAAAGATAATGCGAGGCAGTGAGATTGAGTACTCTAAGAGTGTGAGTACATGAGTTCATTACTGAGAGGCATTGCATTTGGCATGTGTGCATAGAGTTGCATTTCTTTCTGCTGCCTGGTTTTAGTGACATTCATGATTTTACCTATTTCTTGACATGTAGGCATAGAGATGTACTTTCCTCATGCCATTTAAAAAATGAAATCTCCTATTTTGAAAGAAAGTTTTATGGAAAAATCACAGTTTTCAGACTTACTCATATTTTGGTAATTTCAGTTAAAAGAATTGAGTTTTACTATTATACTTGAAAAGAAAATGCTTATTTTTCCTGAACTGTGAACGCGTTGAGCATTTTATTATTAATTTATTCTTTGTATTGCTTATGAATATTGTTGTGAAGTATTACTAGATGTGGGTATGGACCCTAACCTTGGTACAAGCTCGTTACTACTTTCAACCTGAGTTTAGGTTTGTTACTTATTGAGTACATGGGGTCGGTTGTACTCATACTACACTTCCTGCACATTGCATGCAGATTTCAGATTTTGATGTCGCCATTTTTTATGAGAGCTGACTTGGAAGATGTTCCGGCGTCCCTGTTGTAGCTGCCTCTTGTTCATGGTAGCCTTAGAATCATTAAACTCTGTTTATGTACTTTTCAAACAGAAGATGTATTTGTTTCATATTAGTTTTGTAAATTCTACTCATAGAAGTTCATGATTTGTACTACCCGTCCTTGGGAGGTGTATAAGAGATCATTTATTTTTCCTCAGTATGTTATATTTTTATTGGACTTGATGAGTTGGCTTACCTAGAGGGATGGGTTAAGTGCCATCACGATTAGTTGGATTTCGGGTTGTGATACTACCAACCATGGAAATTGGGAATCTCATCAACAGTTCTCATGGTTGCTAAAAAAAAGAGAGAAAGTTAAACAACTACTGGTAAAATAAATCCTTTCAAAATAAATAAAAAAAGAAAATACAAAAGTAAAACTTACGTGCAAAATTCCACTTTTCGGGGAATGGTACATTTTTTTTTACCTACTAAACCAACAGTAAGGGCAACAACAAATCTGGCATACCAGCTACGGTCCTTATCATCCTCAGGGCTAACTAGCACTCTCTTACTTCTCGCCACTAAAGTGAAAATCCCATGTCGGAAAAGTTTAGGGGAGTAGAGATGGATTAAATGGAAAAAAGTAAAAGGCAAATTAGCCAACCTTGTTAAGTGCCTTAAACAAGCAACAACCCTCCACACAATGGGGCCAATCTGTCCTAGACAAATATTGAAAAAACAATAGAACTCAATGGGGGGTTTGAAATTCAGTGTAAAGGGATATGTATACACAAAAGAAAATCCGGTCATGTAAGATGTAATTCTTTGGTTTGCATTAGGAATTATGATAGAGAAGTCAGGTCTCCAATGGCAATCCCTAAGAACAATAGAGATTAAACCTTCGGTAATTTGAGAAGGGTAGACGCCGACACGATCTAAAGAAGACATAGAAGAAACTTGGTTTCTGATCGATTCTCTATTAGTGTAAAAAGATAGTTCAGAAGGGACAATCTCATCTACTAAAGGCTCACAAACTGGTTCACTAGAATCTTTACCTCTAGAAGAAGATCTATGTGAATGAGAACCCCTAGTTCTAGAAGAAGGGGTAGAACTCACTAGAGGTAAAGAAGCACCCCGTATAGATGAAGACACTAAACTATGCAATCTTCCTCCTCTTCTGCTTCTAACAGGAGCAAGAGGAAGTTCGTCAACAATGGGGACTCTTCGAGGATTAGGGTTTGAAGAAGTCATGACTGTACGATGAAGAAGAAAACAAGAATGAATATTCCAAGATAAGTAACTTTTTATGAGAAAGACCTTACAAAAGCTATACGTATACTCAGAAGCAACCGTCAAAGGAAAAGGTGTAATGATGGAAACGTCATGATGGAAACTGTCACTTCGTAATTGATGAAGCCGCAAAAAAGCCCTAAAAGACACTGAAGAGTTGTAGATCCAATCGAAAGATGCCACGTGTCACGAGCATTAAATGGAAGTGACATATAAAGCGTCAGTTCTAGAGAAGGTATAATGGCGACAAAAATTCCCGCTTTAATGAGATCCACTTCCCAAATATTCTATTAATGAATAAATGGCAAGTGGGGGGACTATCTATATTGGAAAAAATCAAGTTATTACATCGAGTTAATTATGTGCTGATGTGTCATGACACGTGGATCAACAAAAGAATGACAGTTGGCGAAGAATAGTTGAAGAGGCGCGAGCTTTAACAGGCATGGGCAAAGATCCAAGAAAATCAGAAGGAATAGGTGCTCGAACCTCTTGATAATTTGAAGAAGCATCAGGAGAATGAACCTAAATAGCAAAAGAGTATAGATACGTATTATTGGTAATTAATGAGCATTAATTACGAAAAACGTTATAGAATCTGTACGGAAACAGTTACAATTGTCAATTATAATGTTACATTGAATGTCATTAATTGTCCATAATAACTCCATTATGGAAGGAGAGAAACGTATTACTTAAAAATAGCTATAAAAGGTGAGGAATGAACATTTGTAAGGACACGAATACTATTGGAATATACTGATTTACTTTGCTTTTTATCCAGCTATTATTTACATCAATTATTCTTATTTCTATTTGATTATCAGTAACCCGAATTCTTCTAAAAACAAGCTTTGATCGAAAATCTTATTTTTGGCTAAACAATACCCCTATGTAAAAATATTCCCACATACAAATTGTATGTTATATATGTATGTTGGGTGGGCATTGCATTTGAAAGTTTAAGGGGGAAAAATTAACAAAAAAGCTCCATTAAGAAATGCCAAATAAAAAGCTTCATTCATTTCTCGCGTATTGATGGTTAAAATTATTTATGTACAAATTTGTACATAAATAAGTTAAGTTAAGAGCATACACCTAAGTACATGTAAGTTTTTTTGAGAGCCTCCTCGCGACACCAAAGATACGTGGGATCTGCACCAGGTATCCATTTGTTTATTTTTTGTTCCAAAGTCATTTGTCTAAAAAAGGTTTTTTTAAAAAAATTAGATGTGCCACTTCACAAAAAATATTTAAGCCCATCAGAAGTTTACATTCCCGGCTATTGTAACCATTTGGTTACCTGGTGATGAAGTTGCTATTTTTATGTGACAAAATAAAGTTGTGAGATTTTGATACAAAAAATATATAAGTACGTGACTATTTGTGAAATTTACCCAAGATGATCCTTTTTTTCTACTTACTTTCACGAAGTATGACTCTAATCTCTTGTTCAACAAAAAAAATACTCATAAAACAATAGGAAACAGAAACAAATACAGAAATAAACTAACAACAGCAATCTTTGATAGTGAAAACAAATTTCAACTAAAATAACAGAACAACAACAAATTAAATACAAGAAGTTCAATCAAAATGACAATTACAAACTAGTGACTTTAAGCACTGGCTGCCGCAATTTCATAATACAGCTAACTAGCATAGGATTTTTGGCCGAAACTCGTTAAATCCTACCACATCCATGTATCATCAATCCGACCAACATCAACCTTACAACCATTGACCCGAAACCACCAACTGTCGTCGGAGCAGCAGCCTTTTCGGAAGAATGCATGGCGGCTATGGCTGACGGTGACGGTGGAGGAGGTGGAAGAGGGTGAACTACAACAGAAACCTTCATAGCATCAGTGCAGCCACCAATGCCACAGATGAAGTAATATCTCTTGGACTTTTTCAGCGGAATGAAATCTCTTCCACTGCTCCAATTCCCAAATGCACCCTCTATTATGCACTTATCATATCCATTTTTATTCACTTCAAAAACATTATGTTGTGTCTTTTTATACCTAAATGCTGCCAAAAAACATGGAATTAATAGACAAGTTAGAGAAAGGGTCGGGTTAAGTTTTGTGTACTGCCAGTGATAATATTTCTATACTCAGTGCCGTATGCAAGATTTTACATAAGTGTTGATATAATTTGAAGAGATGGACAAATGAATAAATTACTATAATGACAAGTATCATTTTCTATACCGTATCTCTAATTTTCATTTATCTTATAAATGTCTAGTGAAAATTTTCGACCCAGGGTGTCCCATGATATAAGATGCATACACCCCTGTCTACACTGTCAGGTCAAGTACATGCAAGAACAGATTGTTGTACATAATAAACGTAATCTGATAACAAACAATTTTAAATGAATTGCATTTAGAAATTCATTTCAAAGTTTAAAAAAAAATAGCTTAGTTTCACCTAGCTAGTAACGTGCACTAAATTAATCAATTTTTTCCCCTGTTATTCTTATTTTTACTAACAGCGATATATTCTAGTTTATAAACATAGACTTTCATAAAAAAGAACATGACTTTGGATACCTAAATTCTCTCTAACAAACAAGGAATAGACTTATAGACAAGTTCAGGAAATATTTACGTACAAATTTTTTTTAGAAAAAAAAAAAAAAAAAACGTAAAGATTA